GGGCGGTGCCCTTGGGGTGGCGGTGGGCGTGATGCAGGCATTAGAAAGAGGTAAACGAACTCAATCATGGGAGGGAAGAGGTGGAACACTGGCTTGTGTCATATAACGGTTCCGATGTGGGATTGCCTTAGGAAAGGGTCCTATTGGCGAAGAGAGGTAAAGGCTATTGGGGGGTCGCCCGCGTAGGTTAATCCAGGTCAAGCCGAAATTCTTAGTAGAGGGTTCTACCTCTTACACTATCTATATCATAGAACCACATAAGATCAAAATTATACGCATCATTCTATGTATATATATTTGTTAACGGTTAAGGGTGTCCAGGCCAGCTAGCACACATCTCGACTAATTATCTCCGTAGTTCGATCAAAGACAGACAATTCACGTTGAAATCAGGATATTCATAAGAAATAAATTTCATGACCTAATTTCAAGAAATTACCAAAATTGATTAGCAATCAAGCTTAAACATAATGTTTAAAGTTCATCGCAATTCCGAGCCCATCCCATACATTCTTTGCAAACAACAACTCAAACCCGAAGAATCTAGTGCTCGGCTTGGTACAGTTCATTTGCACCCTATTCTTTGAAAGGAACCTAGACTAATCTGTAAAAAGTCTCAACACTGATGGGACGTGTCCTATCTGGTACCTCATGTATGTAATTTAAAATCTAAGGGTGACAATTTTTTAATCGACGATTAGCAACTTCCATCTAATACAATATGAACTCCAAAATGAAACCGACAAATTAATTAACTAGAGTAATACATGAACAGGGTTAATGTCAAGTACATACAAACAATTGATTTTTCACAAAAACTTTATTTTCTTTCTCATTTGTTGATCTAATTTTTTGTGAATTGTTGAAGAGTGAAAAAGTTTTTTCGCGTAACTGTTTTAGTATATGAACAAGATAGATTTTAATTTTGATTTATGAGGGACCTGTGGGTAATGATTTTGGTTGAGAGAAAAAAAAATGCTATGATTATGTACTTTTTAGTTCACCTATGACACAAACATAAGATAACTCAAATTTGAAACGTAATATGACATGACTTTATTGTCACCCTTAACAACACAACACTTTGGAGTTGTGTTTAGAGTGGTCCGTCACTCGATCGACACCATTACGCCCTTTGACATGAATTATACTAGTAATTTGAATTTGAGTTTTTGATCATTCGTTTCGTGAATCAAACCCACGACTTGGGGTGGTTTTGATACCAATTAACAAAAAACCCAGATTAATGCCGCAAAAATGTCAAAGATTAGTGAAATGTGTCAAGTCTGGGTTTGTATTATTAGATCTTAACCACATTAAAACAATAATGTTAATGTCAACAATTTCTCTTGAGATAATGCACATGGAAAGATTCAAGGGGGTTCATGATAATAGCAAATGGTATTGATAATTTCTATGAAGATCTCTTGTTCTTTAGGCAACTTGGTCATTGGTCCACCCCCTCCCCCCCCCCCCCCCCCAACAACCAAAAAAAACAAATTTTTTATAGCTTCTTTATTCTGACCCTAATTAGTTCCACATGGATGAGATTGCCTTCATAATATTACTTTATAGAAAGAGAGATATAAACAAAGTTTGACTAGAGATTAGCAAGATCATAAACTAGAACAGCTTCTTTATGAAACCATCACATCTATCATAATCAGTTGGGATTAGTCCTTGTTTGACTAAACACTAAACAATTTTTGTTTATGTGAACATGGGCACATGAATCCCATTTGATCTCATTTCCCTTGTTCCCACCTGCCTCAATATTTTGCTCTCCTCTAATCAATCAATTTCATGGCTTAATAGAAAGAAAATATTACCTAAATGCATGAGTTTAAAGTTACTACGACATATAGGGAAGGTCGAACATGTATATTCCTGACTTGAACTCGTAACGCTCTAGTCATGATGAAGCAACTCATTACTCCGCCAATGTCATCCCTCCTCTAGTCAGCCAATAAAGTACTAGTTTAGGTATCCATCAGTACCTTTAGATTAGTTCCATGAGGTAATGTTTTGCATTAGATATTGTTGGTGTTGCATTAGTTAATAAATCAATGGAGATAGATCAGTGTTCTAAGAGAACCCATGGTTAAATTTTAACCTATAAAGTTTAGGTTTTTTTTTTTTTTTAATTCCCTCATTTAACAAATTACCCAACAAATGAATCACGCCCCCCCCCCCCACATATATATAACATAATAACAGTTTAAATATTTTAACGTTTTAACTACAATAAAAAAAAGCATGCATTGCACACGAACACCCTAGTACATATGTATGGCTTCAACCAATTACATATAGAGGTTTTTTTATTTTGTTAAAAAAAATGTATGGCTTCAACCAATTAGATTCATAATGCAAGCCTTTAAGCCATCATCACCTTTACAAGATTTTGGCAAAAAACAAAACAAAACGGGAACGTCAAATATTCAAGAAAAATATTTGGCATAACTGTAGTTCCCAATGCATTACACTACTAACGATAAAGTTATTTTATTGCGATCTGAGCGTTGCGCGTTTGAGTAGTAAAACGTAAAAACAATGTTTTGTACAAAAGGTTAAAATGTTGTGCATACCATCCTCAAAACCTAAATTGGCAAGCCATCCCTTGATGCAATTTTCTAGAAGGGACGAGCATTGGCAACTAGAGATATACCTCAACCGCCTCAAGGAGAGGTATTTTCAAGCACATAAAAACTATGCTACTCTCATTAATAGTGAATGATTCACCAAAAAAAATGTAAAAAAAAAATATTGAAGAGATCTGGATCCGACTGTAAAGCTATAGATAAAAACTTAACCCTAGTTCACCAAGACATGAATGCAACTACCAATATCGAAATTTAGGGTTTTGTATAGTTATTGAGGCTGTCTATCATGCTAATTTAAATTCAAAAACAACCCACTGGATCAAATGTTGCTACAACTAATGAATTGGTGTGAATAAACAAGCACACAAAGCCAACCATAATGGAATATAGCAGCTGTACGTTCATTGGGCATCTTGATCATGTTGTTTGGTAGTGAGATTTAACGTGTGAGTATAGATATTTAATAGATATATGCATTAAACATATCATGGTACAATGTAATTGGATGTTGTTCCAATGATCTTTCCTTGCCATGGCTGTAAATGTGAAGACAATCAGTGGTCCAACGATCGAATAATTTTTTTTAGGGTAATGTTATTTAGACTTAATTTAGTGATCATTCGATGAAAATGAGTCTCGATATTTTTATTTATCTTGTTAGGATGTGATTTTAATCAGGAATATACTATACTAATTACTTACTTAATCAAGTCAATTTTTTTTCAAACCATAAAGGCATATGTTTTATTTGCTTTTTTTTTCTTCTTTTTCTTTGTGGATTGAGATTTTTTTTTTTTGGCACTTATGGTGGTGATCTCCTTGTGTTTTCCCGTTTACTACTGCTTTAGTTCAGTTGTTGTTACACTTTACATATCCCGACACTTTAATTTGCTTTAATATTATTCAATAGTTAGCATTATAGTTCTACTATGCTATATCATGATCACCTTCTGTTTTTTTCTCTTTTTTGGTACTAAAAGCACTCTTTAAACTCGTGCCGACTACATATATATTCTAAATGACTACAAACTGCAAGCCTCAAACAAATCGAGTATGATTAAAGTTTGGGTGCTCAACATAGCAATCCTGACATCCTCCCATTCAAGCTAATGGCTCATATTAAGAGAGAGAGAGAGCCTAACACAAGTTATGAAATTATAAACTGCAAAACCTCGCCGTCCTCAGCGGTGTATATGTAAGCAGGGTTTGAATATAGTTGTAGTAAACTGTTGAGAAATCATTTACTTAAATATAAATCTGAATATTTATCCATGCATCTCTTCCCGACTTTACATCTAATCTAGTTCAATACTGCTGTCATCTCTTAAAGTCAACCTCCCAAAACGGTCCGGCAAACTTTCAAAATTGTACAAATTCCGCCCCTAAATTTTGGAGAAATCTAATAATGTCCCTCCCAAAAGTTAATTTCCATTCATCTTCGTCACTTTTTAACCCCCTACACAGGACTAAGGTCCTACCCTAGTGGGTGTGTAGTGCTCCAACTTGTAATGTGGAGGTTACTAGTTCAACTTCCCTCTCTCAAGCTTCCTCTCACCCCATATTAACAAGTCCAAAAAAAAAAAAAAACCTATACTTTTTTTTCCGAATAAATGCACTATGAGAGCAAGAACCTTGGACGGGGGATTATTTAGCACTGAAAACTTTACTGAAAGTTTTATCAAATAAAGAATGGTAAGATAAGAGATTAAGAGGGTGATTTCGTCCCAACACCCTCATAAAGAGCAAACACTAGAAGGGATGTTATGTAAGGCTTACTTTGTTGCTTGTTTCATAGGCCCCTGTGTTGATGATCTACTAGTTGATTCAAAATCTGAGTGATTCTTCCCATTTAACTAGTGTCAAAATCGGCCAGAAATACAACAGAAGCCATCATACCTATGGAGTCTCCGCTTAATTTGCAACAGATGCACAATGGTTTCGATGTAGTTACTAATTCTAAAATATTTTCACATTTTGCACATGCCAATTTAAGTGATGCAAATCAATTAATAAAGCTAGCTTAAGAAAGTTTTTTTTTTTCTATCCTTTTTGCTAGAGGTATTTATGGCATTCTTTTTGCTAAGCAAAATTACCCCAAAAGAAAAAAGAAAAAAACAGATTTGGCGAAAATCGTAAATGAAGAATTACATAATCACATGGGTCATATGAGAATTTAGCATATAACATGGGGCCAAAACAATATTTTCACCATGTATTCAAACATATCAGGCTTTCCAAACTCTTCCTTGTTGCTTCCATGTTTACACATGCAGCTTGCATAAGGCATCTAATTTGTTTTGACTTTGATTTTTTCTTTCTTTAGACTTCCACACATCTCTTTGAACATAAATATATATAAAACCTGGATCATACTTACCCAACCTCCCTCCAACTACAATGGCAATGGACCACAGTCCAGACCCATCCATGGATTTTCCTCAAGATTTCAGATGTCCCATTTCCATGGAGCTCATGAAGGACCCTGTCACAATCTCAACGGGGGTCTCGTATGAACGAAAGCCTATCGAAAAATGGTTCTTCACCTACAAGAAAAAGACATGCCCGGCCACAATGCAAAACATCGAAAATTTCGATATCACCCCAAATCATACCCTCAAGAGGCTCATTCATGCATGGCAGAATGGCCGGTCTCAGTCGTGTTCATCGCGGCCACCACCACGACCATCAATCAAGCATGACGAGGTGGTGGCGCTGCTTAACAACGTCGAGTCCACACCATTCAAGGTCAGTTCTTTGAAAAAACTTCGATCCATTATTGAAACTAGTGATGACATAAAGGTTGTTTTTAAGAGATCTGGAGGTGTTGAAGTGCTTGTTGGGATAATTGTCCAAATTTTGATTGAAAGCTCAGATTTTGCTGCTTTTAGAGCTTGTGAGGAGGCCCTTGGTGTTTTGCACTTGATACCCATATCTATAGGGGATGAAACTATGCAATTGCTATCAAAGCAGGAATGCACTAAATCCATGGCCATCATGCTTCAAAGAGGAAGTGTCGAGGCCCGATTTTACGCCATTTCCATATTCCAAAAGATGGGTAAAGCTGATTATGATTGGAACTTTGTCATAAGGGACCAAGGTATTGATTTCTTCAAGTCATTGTTCGAGCTTGTCTCAGACGAAATATGTACTAAGGCGAGTTCATATGCCCTAAAAGTTTTAATAGAAATATTGAGTGCATCGAAGAAAAATCGATTGAAGGCCATTGAAGCCGGGGCAGTTTGTACCCTAATTGAGCTTCTCCCGGACTCAAACCGATCAAAATGCGAGAAAATATTGTATTTGATTAAGTTATTTTGTGAATGTGCCGATGGAAGATCGGCCTTTATAGAGCATAGGTTAGGTATTGCTGCAATTTCGAATAAATTGTTACATGTATCTGACGCTGCAACGAAAATTGTGGTGAAAACCCTATGGTTGATTTGCAGCTTTCACCCCACAGAAAGGGTTTTGGAGGAGATGCTGATTTTTGGATCAGTGAAGAAGCTTGTGGCCTTGTTGCATGTCGATGGTCGGTCATCGATAAAGGATAGGGTTGTGAAGATCTTCAAGTTGCATGGACATTCATGGAGGAGGTACCCTTGTTTCCCTAGTGGATTGAAGGATTATTTGGGTTTAGTAAATGATTCCTCCTAAAGAAGAAGGAAAGATACAAGAAAAAGTTGTGACATATATATATGATATAAATTCAAGTTTTCAAGGAATATGTTAAATATGTAATGAATGGGTGGTGCAATTTGATTAAGTTTTCCTCTTATTGGATATGGAGGTTTTTATTTATCAAATAGCATCATCATCAATGGTATTGTTTTTGTTCTTGCACTTTCTATTTGTTGCTCACATATGACTACTACTTTTTTGTAAGAAATATTCTTGCATAGAAATTAATCTGAAAGATTTGTTTCTGTTATGCTTCATGGTTGATGAATTATGTATTTTCTCGTGCTATATTTGAGGGCGGTTAATTTTTTTTATTGATAAAAAAAATGGTTTCATTGATATTAGATATTCAATATAGGTCATATAAGATTTTATCGATGAAACCACCTTATATAAGCTCAAAAATCATGTGACGCAATCAAACAATATTTTTCCTTTTTGTTTCTATTAAATGAAACGAACCCCCACCCTCGGGCACAAAGAAAAATATAGAAAAAAAAAGAGAGAGTGATATAGGAGAATTTGGCAATTTCAAATGAATTTTCACAAATTGTTTCTACTATTTGGAATTTCAACTAATTTCTCAAATCTCCAAACTCACATAATTAGTTTCCAATATTGATTTTTAGTTTGAAAAAGGACGTTGCAAATGTCAAGCTATGTTGGAATATCCGTCTTTTTTGAATGAGATCGCTACAACCCATTTTCTCTCCATTTTTTTTGATAAATTATCTATCACAAATTCAAGTATGACCCATTATAAATAGTGGGTCACTCCGACTCACTTGATCTTTAGTTGATAAATGATTTGCCAAGAAAAAAATTAGAGAAAGAAAAATTGATTGGAGAGAGAGAAAGAGAGAGAGAGCAGTCTTCTCTGGTTTGAGTGTGGTCCCTCTTGTAGCCGGTACATCAGACCAAAATTGAAGACTAGTAGGCTCGCATGCAAAGTTCAGAGAAGAATGGGACACAAGAGTTTAATAGTTTCCAGTTAGTAAGCTGGAAACTGCAGTGCTCTTTACTTCAGCATAGTTGGAAAATGGCTCTGAACCTTGCACTATACATATATACTTCTAGAGGAAAATACTCAGAATCTGCAGACAACTGGGCATACAATTAGCGTTTAATACTAGCCTGATTGTCTGATCTCAGTCAATTTTCGGTTTTCGTAGATATTAATTTCAGTTATTTTGTAGTATTTGATCGTCAAAATAATAGAATAATTAAATTTTACACGTGTCACTTGTGATGAGAGAAACAAAGAAGATTCGATATCAAAAAATTATTTTCTTGAACCAAAGTCTAACAACCCTTTTGAAGTGTTCCCTTAATAAGATCAAGTTTTGAGGTTTTCTCCGCTAAAGATTATTTACTATAAATTCAAGAAACATCTGTTATATATAAATAGATCTCTTACTCATTAATGGTGAATGATCTGTCAAAAAGAATAGATAAAGAAAAGAAGTATCGGAGGAGATCTAGATCTTGCAGTCACATATTATTCCAAATGATATAAGCATTTTCCACCATTTTTCCAATCACGGCCTTCACCTTAATTGTTTTTAACCTTGTCTAGAGTTTATAATCATTCCACATCAAACTATGCACAAACACTAAAAACACACGCTTATTTCTACTTATGAACAGACTATTTATGACCCTATTGTTGAATTTCAATTCATCACCAAAACCATCTCTAAATATGTTTCAATTATTCCAGATCTCAACCAATTGGAAATCTTGGCCCCTTCAAAGGTTACAGGTCAAGAGAATTTGACCAGAGAACAGCCTAGAAAATTGTTGGTTCAACTGTCAAGTAACATCGTTCACCGGTTATGTAATTCTTCCTAAAGGTGGCATTACATTGAATGATGATATTACTCAACTCATTCACAACATGTATTAATAAAATAGGTACTCAACCCGCTAATGTATGAATATTTTGTGTGGATTATGAGTAATCGGTAAAGTTTATCTAAATAAAAAAACTAAGTAGTACATATCACCATACTCCCAGTAAACCCCGTATATCTGTAATACTGTTGGTATGATAACTATTTGAACAAATACTTATAAAAATAAAAAATTATTTGAATCAACTAGAAGATCAGATGACATTATTATATTTTTTACGTTCATCAGACCCCAGTAAACCCGGAAACATAGTGTAACCTACAACAATTTTTTTTTTTTGTAAGTTATAATCGGTTTTACAAATGAATTTCTCATTTTCCATAGGTTTACATAATTTCGTTCGTTACTCATTTGTTTACGGTCTCGTGCATAATATGTAGAGCAATGTTACTTGGACACCATTTGCTAGTTCGATCGATCACTATCATTGATTTAATTGCGGATGTTGAGACTCACTACTAATTCAATAATTGTGATCAATAGAATTAGAAAATTGTATTAATATTTTAAGTCCAAATATGTAATGTCATTGTAAGTACATTGCAAAAAAGTAAACCCTTGAAAATTACATTTCAGTAAAATTTCCACAACAGAAACTTTCCTTCCTCTTATATGGAAAACTAGATATTGTTTTTTTAGTAGTATTAAAAGAGAAAACTAATTAGTAGAGGTCAGAAATAACTATCACTATCACCCAATTGGTGATATTGATATTCTTCAATGTATATGTAAAGTCAATACCTGTTCTTTGTAATAAGAAGGCAATCTCTGGTAGGAGAAGTTGAATCTTAGTTTAACCACTAGACCAACCACACCACTGGTTTTTATAATTGCTACACATATTTGAGAATAATGAATTTTTCTAACTCAGTGCTTCTCTAATCTGTTTAGTCCATGCTACTTACATCAGGACCTTTTTTTTTAATTTTTTATTTTTGGTGTTTAAAATTTACTTAGCGGTGATAATCATGTTGGGTCGGGTCGGGTCATTTCGGATTCGTGTCGAACATTAGTCAATTCTAACTCAACCCGTTTAATGAATAGTGTCATTTAGTACCGACTTATTTATTTTCGTGTCGTGTTTGCGTTGATCCATATAACCTGTTAATAAAAAATTTAATGCTCAATTTTAAGTATAAAATTTCATTATCACTTTTGTCGAATCTATACTCATACTTTTTTTATAAACTAAAAATTTACTTAATAAATTTAATAATAAACAAGAATAAAAATATTTTTTTTTGTACAAGAATTAAGTCAATACTTGACAAAATATAATAAAAAATTAACATTTTATTCTTATAATATTACTTAAAACATGCTAATTGTGTCAATTCCGTGTTATTCATGATTGACTATAATCAAACCCATTTATTATTCGTGTTAACGGGTCGTCTCATACAGGTTCATGTCAAAAAATAGTCAATCTTAATCCACTAATTTTATTTTAATTTTAAATCGTATTTTCATGTTGCGCGAGAATAAGCTGAGTGCTGTGTTGGGATGGGAGGAACTTGCTGATTGTTTCAGCACTTTTTAGTGTATAACATCTTCAACTTGTATGGGACCATCTGATATCATCACGTTGTGCTGCCAAAGGTATAGATAGGATTTTTCTGGCAACTTCTGGTGCAAAGTCTCTATAGATAATTTCAGTGTTCCATCTTCTATGAGGCTGCATAATCAACTCTTGAACTCTCCTAATGCTGCTTCGCCCCATATTCTGCACCTTCGGATTACCCGGAATCCAAGGATTTTTCCACCATTTAACATCAACACCATCCCCAATTTTCCAAATGTATCTCTTTGTAAGGACCTTCTTTCCTTCCAGCAAACTTTTCCATACCCATGAGTCTGAAGGCTTGTGCCTAGTTTCCCACATAGATTTCATGGCTTGTAAAATTGTGAGGAGTATATTTATGGCTTTTTTCAAGGAAACTTCGGCTTGACTAGTTGCTTTTATCGATATGAAATGATACAAGTTAAACATGATACCGTTTATGAACCAGAAAATGGTGGTGCTGGTTTTTCATTTAGACTTGCAAGCAGAGGTGAGGAGAGGAACTAAATTCCAATTCACTTGTGGGAAAGGCTATCATGTTATGATCAAGTTAAATTACGATTCGTTAGTATTAAATCCTAAAACTTAGAATATAAACATATAAGAGAGAATTATACCACGTAATCTCAACTAGAAACATAAAACATGACCCTTAAATAAGTATAATGACGAAACAAGATTCATTTAACCGACCTTAAAATATTGCTGCAGAAACTTTAAATGTCACAAACATTCGAGAGAATTGTTCCAACCCCACAAACTGGCTACCATCTTTGGGCTACTCAATACATTAACACCAACAAACATGATTCATATCATGAATCTAGGAAATCTGCTTAGGCTTCCACTCTGCTATGAAACACATTTGAAATGTTCATCAAAGACAGTCAAGGATGTTTCTCATTCTTGCAACAATTATTTCTGAATACTATAAAACCCCATTTTCATTCTGTAAATTCACATTTTCAGCAATAGAATTTCAACCTAAATCGTGATTCAAATCAAACTACAATTCCACAAGAACACCAATTTATTTCTGCATTTCCAGTAGTTGCAAAGAGTAAATCGCAATGGAAATGTGAATCAATGGTACAATGAAAAATGTCCTCGGGTACCACATAATCTACACCGAGTAAGCATGCATTCTATCAGCAAACCTGTTTCTAGATCTCTACTTCATGGAAACAATATTATCTCAGGTACCATTATTCCTACTTGTGCAGCTATAACTTGCACTGTTACCCAATTATTTTACAAATTTCCATTTATCTTATACTTGTACCAGTATCATATGAAAATATGTCGATCTTGCCATTTTGATAATCTTCTGAAGTAAACGACCTCACAAGACGACATCGGGCATTCCAGACTGGGTTGCCTGCCAGGGTTACGTGAGAACTATACCGAAAATCACAAACCTATTTTAATTGATATTTAGAGCTTGGAAATGGCATGTGCAGGCAAGTTTGGTCTGGCAGGGAGTTTTAAATCTTCCCAATCTTCATCATCCACCTTAGAGAAGTAACGATCAACCATATTGTCACTGATTAGCTCCAGTTTAGATGGTTCCCACTGGAAAAGCAAAAGAAACAACATTTAACTCAAATGACTCCTCCGACCATAGTAAAATCCACGAATTTTTCTCATTATATATTATCTAGAAGTGAAGATAAACTGAATGTCCATCTACCTTTGGGTTTTTATCCTTGTCCAACAGAATAGCCCTGCAACCCTGCAATTGTAGGTGACCTTTAGATTCATTTTCAGGAATATGATAAAGAAACAAAGGGAGATGGTTGTCACCTCAGAAAAATCCTTGCTAACTTCTCCCCGCAAGATATGACAAACCATTCTGTACTCACGGACAAGACATTGGCCTACACCTTGCAGCCTCCCTTCTCTGATCTGGATAGACAAGCATTGCAAACAGGTATAAACAATTCTGTAACTTTTAAACAAGATTTTCAAACTTTTGCATTTTCTTTGTCTGTAAATAAAAACGGTTTGAGGAGGAGAGGCAAGGGGCCCTATTAGTTGGTGTTGCATGTGCAAAAAGGTTGACGAATCAGCCCACCATTTGCTTCTACATTCTAATTAGGAAATGAATTGTAAAATTTGTTATTTGCATCTGTGGAGGTGCTAGGCCGTTACTGACGACGATTGAGCCTCTCTTGAGTACTTGTAGATTTTTCAAGAGACTTTTTATTGACTTAATTGCATATACTAGTTAACTTCTAATGCTCCCCATTCTATAGCCCGGGTGCACACAGGTCGCATCCTCCCATTTGGCACTCTTCCATAAATTTCAGAAACAAAAAGAAAAGGAAAACCTATGTTAAAGTTCTAGTTTCATTGTTTGGTTCTTTTGTCATGCAACACCACTCTCTTTTCATATTTTATTATTAATGAATGTTGTATGCACAACGGGACTGAGAAGACAGTAAATCCTCTTCCTCCTTGCTCAGTTTCCTATTGGGTTGTGGTGCTTTGGGTGGCGTGCTGATCAGTAATGGATTTGCTTAAATGGAGAAGAGGTTATGCAAGGAGGCTTGTAGGGGCCTTAGTGGCGACCCCCATGCCTTTGGTGGCATCCATGGCTACAGTGCAATCGCCAACATTATCTAAATTTTGGATAGCACAATGTTTATCAAAACATGAGGCAAACTCAGCCATCGTTGATAGAACACATGCATGATTCTTTGGACCACATTGGACCTCGTGGAATACGGTGTTTTAAAAAGTCCATTTCAAAATCATTCTCGATTTCAAGCTCGCCATGATTGTTAAATAGAAGGTAACAATTTACTAGTATCCAGTTGACCAACAGATAATCTTCTAAATTATTGTGTACCAATATCATGATTTTCTTGACTGCTGCATTGAGCAACCAATTTCAGGAACTGAAGCCCACCCTCTTAAAACTATATCAAGCAATTAACCTTTAGTATGACCGTACAGGATTAACTTTGAACAGAACCATCAAAATGGTGTTAAAAAAGTTATGATTTGCCATACCGATCGAAGAGAAATTTTAAGACTTGTTGGAGATGCTTTCTTTAATGACTGAATTGTTGAAGAGATCCAATCATCCGAGTTAATTAAAGCCTCCCTCTCCTACAAAAGTGAAGAAAAGATTCTAGCCGAGTAAAACCTTACAGTTTAGTCCATCATTATAAAAAAATTACAGAAGAAAAAGTAACCACGGGCATCAGACCAATTTTCCTAATATGAAACTGATACATTTCATCCACTTACCAAGGCCAATATAATCTCTTCGCAAGTTCTTCGCGAGAAACACCTGTCAATGATATCCAACCTGTAGACAAATATGAATATAATGCAAGGGTGAATTAGCTGGTATCCCAAAGATAACAATCTATTCCATACCCTAAACACGAGTACAGTTAAAAATTCCGTGAGTAACAAACTTAAAGTGTGCAATGGATGCTTGACACAGGCTTATACAACATAAGGTTTTTGAAGTGTAGGTTTTTTGGTAGGAAGAAACAACATAAAACAAATTGACGAATGAATTGATTGTAAGGCTCACCCTAAATCTGTAGATTATCATTATTTGTAAACATGATTGTACAGAGTTCTAAACCCATCAATTCTAGAGATATCAAGATATCTCTTCAAGCAACTTAAAGATTTTGCCTAAAAGTGAAAAGGACTACCATTTTACATAAAGTGGTTAACAAAATAATAGGAATTGAGCCGGTAACCAGGTTGCTGTTTAAGTCATGCACAAAGATTGTATAAAGGATCAAATGTTTGACAAATGCAACGGCATTTGTAGAATTATATTATTACGATCCCCAATCAGGTCAATATGATCCTAACCCGAATAGAAAATACCGACAACACTAGCAGTAAAAGAAAAATTAAACTCACCAACGATAGACACTCTTTTCTTTCAAATTAGGCACCTGTGAGAATTCATTGATAGTGGCAGAAATGACAGCTGGATCACTTGAATCTACTTTAAGTAGTGCTTCTTCTAACGATGACAATCTCTGGCCATAGATGGATGACGCATAAGACAAGCATTCCATTAGCATTAGTGTTCCAGATGTGAAGAATATTAGAAATGCTTTCCGTTATGGCAGAGGGGTTGCGAGTTGTTAGACATGACTAGTGAAAAGAGCCCAGTGTGGCCAAATCAAAAAGGTGAGGCAAAAAATAAATGGCTAAAACCAATCGCACTTGAAGTGTGAGAGTGTTTATGCTTAATAGTAAATTGCTCATTTGTAAAGCTCCTAGAGCTCATATTAATCATGATTTGAACATATACTTAAAAGTACGGAATTCACAATCGTGTCGATTGAAGCCATAGAGTGGAAGGGATAAAAGAAACTGGAAATTGTCAAAAAGAGAATATTTAGGACACTTCCTAACGGTAGCCTCTAAATAAAACCCCAGTTTACTTGGTGCATTATCATTCTGCACTATGAGGGGGAGTCCTCGAAGCATCTTTGATGATCACGATAAGCATCTCACATTTTTATGTCAACAAAACCTTCCTTTTCTTTATCAATAAAGTTTTTGTTTCACATTGAAAAAAGCCATGCAGACGCATAACAATCTTAAAGTTGGGTTGAATTACCAAGCAAGTCATAATTCTTATTTCAATTGAGCATTTGAACAAGAATACATGTAACATACCAAAACTCAAAGTAGAATACCTCTGATGGAACGAAGTGAGTTGCAAGACCGCATGCAAGCATTTCGGCACCATCCAACCTTGAACCTGTGAGACCAAGATATTCTCCTGCCAGATAGGATTAACAATAGTGAATAGATAATTACAGATGAGATCTAAAAACGACAGCTAAAACTCAGCTATAATACTTGACATGTAACATATCCACTGTTTGCCTGAAGATAAGAACAAGAACAACAGCAGGAGCAGCAACCGCCACAGTAATAATCAGGATCAAGGAATTCATCACATCACTAGTTATATGATATAAATATAAACAGCAAGATGACACCAAAAATGGATAAAAACACACTTCCGGCACTCATATTCTGGCCTAATATGCAATGTGATTTGTGACACATGCCGGCAAGTGTTAACTGACTCCTACACTTATGCAAGCAAGCGACATGCAAGGATCATGTAGACTGTGTGGTAACAGTGATTAATAATTTTCTGAAGAAGGTCCTGCGGATGCTTGTAAAATGGAAAAAGGCCGCTCAGAAGCACCTATCAAAGAATTTATGTGCTATCTAATTAACCTGTCTGTATACATTATAGATACTGCAAAGTGAATTTATGAATTGGGAGAAAACTTCAGTTCTAAACTTGTTTTGCTCTGCCATAGTTTGTAGGGCAGAGCCAAATTTTTTGTTATAATGCAGTTCAAAGCCTTAAAGGTCCAATGCCAACAGCAAGCCAAAACGAATTCGTAAGGGATGGACAGCTCATAAAGGAAATATGATAGCTCCAACTTGCAATATTATGAACCCTTGTAAACAGAATTACACTATTTATCTAAACCAATTTTAAGCTTCAATGACACAACTTTTCAAAAGATTTTGATTTCTTATACTAGAAATCCATGAGATGCCCTTTTGCAATGCTAACCATTCCACCTCACTAGAGTGGAGACCCAAACCAAAGTTAAGCACAACTACAATCATTGATCAATTATCAATTATCAATAAGAAAATCTCAAAGAGTAATTGAATTCATTTCGTTGGACTATTACCAAAGTTGATGATCCTAATCAAATTTCAAATATTTGGCTGTATAGTATCTTAATAGAAAACTTGGAAGGTTCAAATGGGAAAGGCTTTGTTGAGGTGAGGTGAGGTGAGGTAAGGTAAGAGGTTTTGGTAATAGAGTCAACTGGGTGTTCCTTGTATATGCTTAAATGACTGCCAAAAAAGACATCCAAGTTCTCAAGTTGGAACAACAACAAAAAAAAAAGGTAGTGTGGTTAAATAAAATAAAAAAAGTGATTTACTTTATCTAAAAATAACACTCAAACTAGAATGACTAAACAATTATACTCAACTCTCATGACTCCTGACAATCAGCCACAGGTTAATGCTGGTCATCTGCAACGAGCTGAAAGTAGTAATACCGCAGCATTTAAATGTTCTCCCATGTATTTCTCATTATCAGAACACTATGACGAGAGTTGCATCTTTAAACTTCTTCCACACTGATGCCACTCCTAGTATTTTAACTAATACCCTGTGGAGAGACCGATTAATATAATGGTAGACACATGACATGAGATGAGTTGAACTTAATGAGAAGTTGCCCCTTAAAACTTCTTCCACACTGACACCACTTCAAATATTTAAACTAATGCTACATGAAGAGACCTATTAATTTAGAAGTAGACACATGATATGATCAGAACTTCCCACTCTTAATATTTCTAGCCACGTTAAACTTCATATCCAACTGTGATGAGAACTAAAAATGTAAGTCCTGTTTTTATGACAATTTTGACAAAATAACATAATAACGAATATAAGCACAGAACAATATTTTAGATGCCCACGAAAGAGAATTTAATCCATCTCCAAGTTCGGAAACCATTATTATAGGGAGAATAAATATTTGGCTATTAAACCGAGAGATGTGTAGATGAAGAAGTATGTAACTGGAATTACCAAAAAATCCGGGGAGTCTTGATAAAAAATAAGAGGCACCTACATCTGGAAAGAGTCCCAAAGCAGTTTCTGGCATTGCAAAAACCTGCAATAGAAGTGAGCATAGCAACATTTTGACAAAAAAAAGGGAGGGGGGGGGGGGGAGAGAATACTTTGCAAAAATGCAAAAAAGGAATTGAAAAGGATAAGATTGATAGCATGAGATATAGTTTGCTTATCACAAGGAACAGGCATATTACGCAGCAGATTACTCCCATTAGCTACTACCCTAGAGTTGCCTGAAGCAAAATTCAGGCATTTGAATTGGTAATAGTTTGCCATTTTCTTGACAAAACCTCTTTTCCTTGTAATTATTTATGGAGCGAAACTACTGGGAATCACCACTCCAAGGAGGATATTCCAATCCCTATGAATTGTAGGTGTTTTAACTTGTACCTAAAATAGTTGGGGTTGTCATTCCTGTCAGTCATGACTCGCAACATTGTTATTTTATCTCACACCTAGAGAAGCCATGCATTGTCAATCCTAACAATCATCTCTAAAAAACAGGCAAAACGTCATACTCAATGTACAAGACTTCCCGCCTATGACTGAGAGAGGAAAGTAGTTGGCAGCCTTACCCCACTTTTGAAAAAGTTAATTACCGAACTCAAACCCGCGATGTATTGCTTGGGTGGATGAGCACTTGCCACTACCCAAGGTCCTATAAATCATGACTCATTGACAATAAATATACGTCCAACTTACGTCATCTAAAGTTAAAATGTCAAGATAACTTATGGAGGATGTAATTAGATTGTCACCAAGTATTGAACACAAACAATCAAGGGTCATCCAAATATCTCTTAAACAATTAAATTTCCTCACAAAATCAATATATATTGACTTGAAAAGGTTGGCAACAATCAAAGTCTATATGAAAGGCAAAAAGAACTCATTAAACGACTATTGTATAAATATTTTCTTGGGAGTCCAATGCACAAAAAGCGCACACTTAATTGACTTAAAGAACCATGAGAAAAAATATAAGTCTTAAACATCATGCAGCAACCAATTCATTGGTTGATGGTCTTTCCCTTACAACTATAGCATCTGTTTAGATAACATCCACAGCTATACATAACAAGCTAATAGTGTGAGCTTTGGCAATGTTCAGCACGAAAAGAAGATGAACTATGACTTAGCATAATCTACAATAATTGACTCCAAAGCCAAGGCAATAAAAGATAATTTGGTAAAAAACTAAAAAAAATTAAAAATAAAATAAAAGATAATTTGGAAACCAATGAGATATAAATATACCTTCTCCAGAAAATTTTGTAGAAATACACACAATCTGAAATGTAGCTGTATCAATGTAGTCCTGTAATATTTCAAGACTAAAGTAAAGGAAAGAGATATACAGAATTCTCTGTTGCAACTCGGAATCTACCATGTATCGAAGCACCTGCTCCACCTCCCATGACAATTCCATTAAGTATTGAAACCTTCAAATATGTTTGCACGGCCACGTCAGGATGAAGGATGTTGAAACTAAATTGACCAAGAATTTCTCTATTGCAAACAGTTTATATTCAAATAAATCCACCTAATACACATTTTAAGTTGATACCTGGGGTTTACTGTAAGTAGCCATCAAATAGTTCAAGCTGAATTCTTTCCCGAAATAATTTGCACCTAGTCTCCAATTACCTGATGCATACAAATAAGCAATAAGTTATAATTAAGTATGGTTGTTTAGTGTTTACGTTTAAATCTTATAAGTTCACTTGCTCCATGGTTGCATAAATTCAAGCATCTTCCAGATAAAAAGGACGACAGTTTCAAAGAAACCTGTACTTTAGAACAAGGGATCTAGGCCATGATGTTCACATAGCAGCAAGAATTCATAGAAAGGACAAATAGAAGTCTACCTTGACTGATATCGCGAACCACAGCTGCAACATCACCACCAGCACAGAAAGCTCTTCCTTTTGCCTAACCATAATTTCGGAAATAATATTTTAAAATTTTAGTCATTGTCCTAACAAATTGTAGTAGATACTATATCAGCCAATCCACCAATATGTCCTCAAAGAATTGGCTAATCCACACAGCCCATATTGTGCCCCCAATATCATTGACTAACTTTTGATGATATTAAATGCATTCGATGCTATAGCATCTCAGCCTACATGGCAAAATAAATCAGAGCTTGTCATATATGTAACCTTTAAACTTTGTAAAGGTAAAATAGAACTCTAGATATGCATGAAATGATCAAGCACAACAATTAAAGTCTTGGAATCATTAAATATTTCTAAGCTAGGGAACCTGGAAAACGAGTGGCTCAATGTTACAGAAGTCATGTTTAGTTATTTACCTAAGTTCAAACTGTCGTGCTTTGGGGGAAAGGTTTTGCATGGACAAAACCAAATCGATCATAATAAAGTCACGGTCATAAGAATTTCAAGGATGTCATTAATGGTAGTTTATGACCCTTAAACAGTTATTGTCATGCTAAGTGAATATTATACCATCGACTCATTAGATTAAACCATATAGCTACACTAAAAGACTCAAATCGTAAAAACTGAGAAGACTGAGAGAAAATAAGTCAAACAACTTTCAAAATAACCTAATTGCCAGTGTAAAAGAGTAAACTGCATCAAAGAAAAAGGCAGTAAAGATGGACCATTTTTCTTTCGAAGAAAATAAAATAAGGGCATTTTGGCTCACGAAGTGGTAAAAAAAGAATGACAAAACTACTTTAAAGTTGAAATATATACTTCTACGACTATCAAAAACCTAAAAAAAATGCATATCATGGTTCCAATAATGAAATTTGTAAACAAACCTATGCAAACCGCTGTAGAAATAGATAAGTATATTTTGAGTGCTCAATTTAAATAGCAGATGATTAAATTTACAGTATGTTACCAAAGAATAACATCTTCAGATAACAAGAATGACTACATAAATTGTTGTGTGATTCTTTACAATATGGAGTATCAAACATGAATGCAACGTTATAATAACAATGTACCTTTAAAATTATTAGCTTGATACTACACTCCTGTTCACAGGCAAAGAAAAGATCACGCAGCCGAGATATCTGTTTGGAGTAGGGGACAGGGGAAAGACGTTGAAGAGAGTTATCAAACTCCTGCTTTGCAGAACTCAAGTTATAGCAAAACATTCCTTCATACACATTCTAGCTCAGTGATTGAAACAGAATTTGTCTTGCACATAAATATAGAAGGCTATAAGGTCTACGCAGAATATTGATGGTAAATAACATGAAAAACCAATCAACAAAATGTAAAATTGTTCACAAACTACCAGGAGAATAAAAAAGAAAGCAGAAGCTTTCAAAATACAATCCCACAAGTGTTCTGAAATTTTATAACATGAAAATTAAGCAACTGAGCCTCCTGATTTCACAATGCTTAAATATCGTTAGACCAGAAGAATATAGAGCTCCCAAATCAGTCTCCAATATTTGTAGCATGCCCTTGCCATACCTAAAAGACACCCAAGGACATAAGCTAAGGGCATAAATCTCCAGTCTCTATGCCAGTTTTACTTGGTAAATAAGAACTTCAATGTTGCTGTTGGTGGAGCCATACTTCAATTTTGCTGTTGGCGGAGCCATACAGCAAACCAAAGGTGATGATGCAGATTATGTTTCAAGTGCACTTTCTGCATTTTGTACATTACCTCAACTCACACTAGATGACCTAATCAATCACCTAGTGAGAGTGGAGAAGAGGCGAAGAGGAGGGAACAGAGGAAGGAAAGGGAAGTAAAGAGGAAGGAAATGTATTTTCTTCAGAAAGATATAATCTACGACTGCTTTGTTGATCCTTTCAAAGCTAGTTTATCCTTCAAGGGAAGACAAAAGCAATTCTACTAGAAGTGTGTCTAATTCATGGCAATTGATACTATTTAGTGCACCCAATACAAAGCTTGGCATAAGATCAAATCTAAATCACAACTAACATTGGTTTTACTGCATAATCAACATTGAGCATGGTAGAATTATAACATGAGAAGCAATCAAGCAACCACTAAAATGGTACATTATTCTAGATACATACAATTGTGACCTGAAGAAAATTCCCCCTTCCAACTCTCAACTTTAAAAACTTGTAAAGGCATACCAATCTGTGGGGAGAAAAAAAACCCCATAGACTCCACATGAGAATTCTATGCCTTCTATTGAGTCTCATACCCTCTCTTAATTACAACATGTTTTCCCGTTCAATAAGAAATCTATACAATCATTTACCTAGCAGCAAAGCAGTATTCTTAGCCTTAATGTTTTGTAAAGCAACACCCCTTTTAACCATTGGTCGAGACACTACTTCCCACTTTACCAAATTCTCTCTTCCTCCTATAGTCCCTCAATTAAAAGAATAAAAAAAATATCTAGTTGATGAATATCTAATATCAATGAATATTTACAGTAGATTGTGCTTAAAGAAAATCTTGTTTTTAAAAAGAATGGTAACATGTATTCTTAACTAGTGTACAAGCTTTACAAGTCTCAAATGCCAGTTGTTGCTTGTCACTTAGATTTTTTACTTCCCATAAAAACTTTATGCAGAAGTTTAAGTGTTGTCACCCAATTTGCATCCCGAAGCATGGCAAGGCAACGTATGGCATGGCATATCAGTAGCATTTCATAGGAAAGATAATATTTAAAAGCATCCAAGAAAATCCAGACACAAAATTATAGAGACAAGGTCCACAGAAAATTAAATGCATAGTCAACAATCGTAATGCTTAGAATCAAGAAGAACCAACAACCCCATAGAAAAAAAATACCAACAGTTCCAATGCAAATGCATTTGATGGCTGAACCACGTAACAAAACAAGATGAATCAGAGTGATCTAAAGAAAAGGTAACACTTTCAATAATTATTCATCGTACCATTTGAAATGAAAGGGCATTCAGTTGCTTAGGCCTGTTTAGTGTGAACATTCTTGCAAATGACTTCTCTTCTACCAATACCTAGCAAGCCACGAGGAATTATGTGTGAATGCAGATTAAGAAAATAAATTAACAAACTCACAATGAAAACACAACAAAAATATCCGACTTTACATTCTTCATTCTTCAGGAATTAATCTGATTCGTCAATTCATTAGAAAATATATCAAACCACAATCCTTGGTATGGTTGCTTAGAAATTTGAAATGCTTGGTAAAGCATAATGCTTAAACTCATGTTCTTTGTTGATTAGATATCTAGAGGACACAAAGGACTCACTTCAAGTAAGTTACGCAGAATGCTAGAATCACTAAGCTGGGTTTTGCATATGCATCTGCATTCTAAGGGCTCAAATAGTGAAAAATTAATTTCCAACTTCCTGTTTTTTCATGTCACCACCCTCATTTCTTTATTTTTTATTTGTAAAACTTGTTTATACTTTCTATTGTCTTATTTCCTCATGATAACTATTGAGAACTCCCTGTCCTCCCATGCACTTCCATTTTTCATCTTTCATAGTATTTTCTTGTTTACCTTTGTTGTTCCTTTTTCTTTTTTTTTTTTGAAAACCAATTCATTATGTCCGGCTTATTCCTAAGAGCAATGGAAATCATAAACCAAGGAATCTGACACTAATTACAGTTAAGATTTGAAGACTAACTATCAACATGATACGCCTTTTGTATGTATCCTTGTCAACCAACAGGGCACAAGTGAACGAATATATTACCTTCCACTCGTTCCGGTTGTCAAAGATAATATGAAAGAAAATTAAAGAACTTGGAATCCTAGCAACAGCAAGTACAACAACTAATCCAATCTTAAAAACTCTACTTCTCTTTACTTTCTTGGCAACCAAACAGAGCATACGAGCAAAACCCAAGTGGCAAAATCTCGAAACTGAACAATTCAGCAAACCTGGCTCAGTATTTGGGTAAAAAGATGATTTGGAAAACCCCCAAATCCCATTTTTTTTTTTTATAGACCATCCTGATAATTAGTGATATGCTACAAAAACACGTATTATATGTCCCAATCAACAGTGTAGAAGACGAAACGTTAGCTTGATAGAAAAAATATATATATACCTGATCGGTCTCGGTGCTCGTAGAACTGACTGGCGCCATGGTTCTTCTTCTTCTTCGCTGGTAGTATGAAGGTAGCCCCCAAGCTTTCAATTTCCCACTTTTCTCATATATATATTTTTTTTACCGTTTATGTATTTTTTGGGAAAATTTTGGATGACCCCTGTACTTTTTAAAAATGCCCTTTCAATTTTAACCTTAAAACTTGGGTGAATCACACTTTGATCCCTAAATATTTCAAACTTCTTAATTTGTATCCCAAATAATTAATTATCTCACATTATACCCTCAATATTTGTAAAATAATTGTAATATAGCCCTCACACCAACTTCCATTGTCAAATCTCACTATAATTAGTGTGGGGACCGCATAGCAAATTTGCCAAAAATTATAATAGACATTAGTGTTAGGGCTACATTGCGACTATTTTTTGACATTGAACTGTGTAACATGGTAAAACTAGTTATTGTTCATGCCTGAAAGTACGGAGTAATAAAAAAAATAGTCAAAAATAAATATATTTATATTTACACCTAAAATTAAATTATAAATATAAAGGAGAGAGAAATGAATTTAAGTATTAATTATAACAGGGTGAGCAATTGTGGGTAGCAATGGTAAATGGTGGAAGACGCTGATGGATGTGTTGGGGTGGCGACAACCGCGGTAATTTTGGCAATCGTGATGGCAACAATGATGATGATGGTGGTTTTTAGATGATAATGATAGTAGTGGCAATCGTGAGTGACGATGGTGACGGTGGCGGGTGACAGTGATGGTGATTGACAGCGGTGGTAGACGGCAATGATGGTGGTGGTGGACGACGACGACAGGTATTTCTAGACAATAATGTGATGGATGGTGACGAATAGCGGGGGTGGGGGTGACAGTGATGGATGATGATGGGTGATGGTAGATATGGTGGGACATGGGTGACAGTGGCTGACAGCGATGATAGACGATGACGAGTGTTGGTGAGTTGTGGTGGTTGGGCAATAACGGTAGTGATGGGTGCTGGGTGGGCAACGATGGTAGTGGGATGAGAGTAGTAATGATAATAAATATAAGAATAAAATAACAATTGTGGTGGGTGGTGGAGATGAAAAACGGTGGTAACAATCGATTGTGGGTGACGGTGGGGAAGTGAGGGTTATATGGTAGAGGTGGGGGGGAATGACAAGGGTGGGTGGTGGTCAAGCAAAGACAGTGGTAGTGAGGATAGCAACAGTGATAGTGACAACAATGGTGATGGTCATGGGAGTGGTGGTGAGGGCGGTGGAAGTGAGGGGTGGTAGAGATGATGGTGGGACAGCGGTGATGGTGATAGTAGGGATAGTGATGGTGGGGTGGTGGAGGCGGTGCAACAATGGGGGTGTTGTTGGTAGGGTGGTGGCAGGCAATGGGGGTAGCGATAGTGACAATGGGTGATTGAGAGTGGTGACATTGGTGAGCGATGGCGGTTGGTGATGATAGATGTGGTTGGCATGGGTGATAGTGGCTGGCGGCGATGGTGATGGGATGATAGTAGTAATCTATACTACTTTAAAATGTCAGGACACATAAAAAACTTTTTTTTTCACCTTTACCCTCCAATATTACAATTATGCCTTGCTTACACTCTAAATTTAATTCCACGTTAAACTTAAATCACCTAAACCCAAAATCTTCTCTTTTCTCAGCCGTTACCCTATCTCTCCTTATTTTTCAGCCGTCTTTCTCTCTCTCCCGTTGTTTATTCACATTTGGCCTATTTAATGCATTAATTGAAGACTACGTTTTGCCTTTCGGTTTTCAGAAAGCAGAAACTATTACTATCTCTGAATCCCTTCTTCTATCTATCTATAATTGCGACCCAACAGTGTTGTTCTTCAGTAGGTTCCGCAATTTTTCTTCTGCTCAATGCCACTAAAGGTCAAAAGCATTTTAACATTTGTCAGCGTTTTCAATCCAGGTCTCTCCATGTGAGTTTTGTTTTCAACTTTTTTTTTCACATGATATATAATTTTTGTGGTTGTTCTAATTCTGTGGCTTGAATTACTTGTTTGCAATTGCAGGGATATTGAATTATGAGTGCGGCAGTGCGCTGTAGCTAATCACAGAGAAAGCTCTTAAGGACAGACAAAAGAAGAATAAAGAGACGATGTCAACTTATTTAAGCCCGGTATGTATTTGAATCTCTCCCTTCCCCTCTCCCGTGCGCTGTGTGCGTCAATGTGTTTTTTTATAGGAGGAGAGCTGAAATAATTTTATGCTATAAGTTGTATTGCATGTGTTGTTCATGGCTTCTACTGGAAATCTGGAAGAGATCGACTGAGTCTCTTAGAACCAGTAATACATTAATGAGCGTTAAGGAGAATCAATCCACCAAGATGACGTTCTAAATCTCTTCATTTTTTTTTCTAATTCAAGTTAGTGCTCTTGATGATGGTCGAGACATAAGAACAAGACGGTCCACTCCTACGATTCTTACTCCATGAGTGCTTCATTGAGGTAAAATTTTCTTCTCTTCTTGATTTCAACATTTACTCCATTTAGATTTTCCCAAATTTATTTGAGTTTAAATGCTTCTTTGCTTCAGTCATATTCTATTCTATATTTTTTGTCATGGTTGTCTTGAATTCAACCTTTAGGCCATTAGTTGCATTCTAGCTTCAGTCATTGTTTCAATCGGGTTTCTGTCACATATATTCTCTAACATTCATATATGCATTGGATTGTTGCCTGTCTTAATTTCGTCTCTAGAATTATAGGTCTTTAAGTGGGTTCTTGTGATATGGAGTCTTTTTTTTTCTGCTCCTTATATTACAAATTAACTTTATCTTCTTGATTTCAAGCTTATTTCAGTTACTCTATTGGATTTGGCCCACCTTGTCTCGAATGCATTTAGATTATTTCTCTATATCTATGTTTGAAATATGATTCACGTGCCAAGACTTATAAGTTGTTTTTGGCATGGATTTTGTGGGCATTTACTACACGTTTCGTATGATTCTCCATTTTAAATAATGCGGACTATGTTTTTCTTGATTGAGACTAAAGTTAGGTTTTTTTTCTTCGGTTCTCTATTTAGGTGGATTTTCTATTTTAATTGTGATTTTGCTGTTGGAGTTCTTTTCCTTCTTCAGTCTGTACATCATCACATTCTTCTTTTGTTTGCTTACTTTTCATCTGCAGCAATGGAAGTAAGAAGAACTCCATAGAGCGACAACTTGTTCCCAATAATATATTGAAGGGCTATAATTTTTTGATACCTATAGTTATGCCTATATCCACTCACCGTCAAACATTCACTGTACGCACACACCATATGCCATTCCATGTCCTACGCACACCTATGAAACAAGCATTTTACACCCATGCACACTAACACTAACACTTATGGATTTTGATAACCCATCAATCTTATTTGAATGAATTGGATTTTCCCTCTCCTTAGAGTGCACATTTGAGTTTTCTGCCTCATAACACACACTTTTTGTTAATGCTATAAATTTTGCTACACTGTGTTTTTTTATTATTTCTATTATGCACACAGACAATCTACATCTCTTTTCATGGTGTTAAGTTTTGGATTGACTCCCAACTCTTCTGCATATATCTAAATGTTACCAATTTTTGTTTCACTGGTAGGTCTTTCTACCACAAATTTTAAACTCATGGTTTGACAATGATTTGGGCATGGCTATTGACACTTTCCAATATTTGTCGATGAAGAACACAATCATTCAAGAAGTGCAGTACAAACATGTTAAGATTTCGCTAAGAGACTGGGTATACAACTATATATTCAAATACTCAAATTGATGGTTCAATCCTATTTTGAAGAAGCGACGGTTCATTAAATTGTTAGCCGGACAATTATTATCTGTAACATTGAATACTATATATGTGTGTCATGCTTTGATTTTTGATCAAGATCCTTATGTGTATTCCTTGTTTCGCTTGTTCAAGTTGTTCCAAATGAAAAAAATCTATCCATTTTTTGTTATTATTATATTTTTCTCTCAGAGAGATAAGCTATATTGTGAAAAAATCTCTCTTAAATTCTCATGATATAGATTGATGTTTATGTTATAAAATCGTTTTCTTTTATGTAGTGTCCATTGTTATTTCTAGCATTCTCTTGTACTTTCTGTTTTTGCATTTCATAAGCAATCAAAATCCCGCTTATCCTTCCCCAAAAATCCAGTATAGCAGATCGCAATAAACTGAAAGTTCAAGTGAAAAAAGAGGTATGCTTGCCGTTTGGTATCTTTATATTGGCCTTCTCCTGCTTTTTATTGTCCTGGCAAGTACAGACACTAATAGATTTCAGTTTCGGCCATGACTTATTGGTGGGTTGATTCTAAGGAAAAGATATAAAATTGGTTAGAGATGATGATTATAAAAATTGGTTAGAGATGATGATTGAAAAGACTTGTGGAAGACATGATTGCCTGTATGCTCAACATTTTCACATACATATTATTGGATTTATCTACTTGAAATGTCTTAAATTACTGCCTTGGTAATAATTTGTAGAGCCATTCGAGTGTTTTTACTGTACACATTTGTCAATAAGTGCTAAAATTTCTCACTACACAGTCGCCTTAATTTTCAAAAATAATATATTCGGAAAGCAAATTTATGTTTTCCAAACCACATTACAATGTAATAGCCAAGTAGTAGCAAGACTTGACTGTAGATATGCTTTGTGAAAAAAATCATCATAATTTTAAGAGCAAAAGTTAAAATTTAATCAAAACCTTCTATTTGGTGAAGCATTATAGTGTGTACAGTCTTGGTCTTTCATAATGCATTGTCTCTCTGGTTATAGATCCAATTGAACTGTCATGCTCAAAATCTTCTATTTGAGTATTGATGAGACTCTTCTGAAAAAGCCTATGATGAAGACACGCGTCCTCGGGGGGGTTCTAGGACAATGTTGCTCGGGTTCAAGCACCATCGGCAAAAGCGTCCTCTCCCCCGAGGTACCTCTCATACAGGATCACATATTCGGTACATTATACAATGACATGTGTCCTCGGTCACCATGTACCTCGGGAACACACCACCCTTGGTCCCCCGAGGTGAGCCTTTCCT